GAGGGGAGGGCTGGGGGTCAAGCAGCTCCTTCTGCCCTAGAAGGAGTTGTGAGCTGAAAGCCAGGGGTTTGGGAGAGGGGAAAAATAGGCACTTTGGAAAAGTATGCACAGGAATGTGGGGCCGGGGGCACTGCTGCCCCCCAGGTGCCAGGCAGCCTGGCTCCCAGTTAACCCTTTCCCCACGCTGCCCTGGGGAGCTGGCCGGCCGCTGCAGGCAGGCTGCCTGGTACTGGGGTGCCTCCCTGTTGAGATGATGTTGGGCTCCACTCGGCCGGGGCTGCCGGATGAGGCTGAGCCACGGGCTGAAATCCGCGCTGGGGCGCGCCAGGGTTTCCTGCGCTGCGATCAGCAGCTCTGGGGCTGTGAGCGTCCGTGGAGCTGCGGACGGTCTGAGGTGGGCACCGGGCTTCTCAGCCCAGTCCTCTTTCCAAACCTGGCTCCTGTGTAACTGGGGGTTCAAAGCAGCCTCTGGGGCTGCCGAAAGCTGGCAGGAAGGATTCGATGAAGGGCGAGGTATCGTTTCACTGCACTGGCCAAAGCGCTCTGGGTGAGCTCCTGAACCTGCAAGCCGTGAGTCAGGGCCGGGGGAAGAGTTGGATGTTAGGGAGCCCGCGGGGCAGTGGCACAAGTCGTGCAGGCAGCAGCAGGGCCCCACTTGCGAAATGAGGATTCAGTTGCAGGTGAGAGCTGCTGGTAAATGAGAGGGCAGGGAGGCGTGCCTGGGCCCCCTCCTTGGGGGCAGAGGAAAGCGGGGGTTTTTATCATCTTCCTGCCCTGGGACGTGCTGGGAGCTGCCCGGGAGTCGGCTCTCCCACTGCGAATGCTGCTGTTGCCTTTCACCCCTCCTTCCTCACCACCTCCTCCTCGCCCCTTCCTCGCCACCCTGTCCATCCTGCCTGGTCCTGGCTGAACTCAGGGAGGGGACAGAGGGCACAGCCGCAGGCACAGCCAGCCCCAGGCGCCTCCTGCGCCTCTGGTCCGGGAGGACCTGACTTCTCCTGGCCCACGTCGAGCAGCACAACGCCAGGTGCCCAGGAGGAGGTGGGCCAGGGCACCTTTACCTGTGCTAGCCGGGGAGCTGGGTGGGTGGCTTGGCTTGGGCAGACAAGGAGGCTCCTCGCAGAGCGTGGACCAGGGCCAGGCCTCCAAGCACGGCGTGGTTTTGCTGCCGGGCGCTTGGCAGAGCCTCCCTGCGTGGGGAGTGGCTGCCCTGGCTCCTGCCTTGTGTGTCCTGCTAAGTGGCACAGCAGCCCCTTAGGGCTGGCTGGAAGCAAGGACTCCAATCCTGGCCACCAGCCTCGGCAAACCCTGCCTTCCCTTTCCCAGTCACCACCGCCGACCTGGAGCTCTCCGGCATGAGAACCCTGGAGCACGTGGCAGTCACCGTCACCATAACCCACCCCCGCCGCGGCAACCTGGAGATCAGGCTCTTCTGCCCCAGCGGCATGATGTCCCTGATCGGAACCACCAGGAGCATGGACTCGTAAGCACCAAAGGGGATGGGGGTGCGGAGGCTCACGCTGCTGGGCAGGACACCCGGCCCAGCCAGCCCCAGGCCAGAGAGCCGGGGCCCACGTCCAGCCTCGTGGCTCGGGCTACGCTACCCTCTCATGGGTTGTTTCTCCTCACCCTTTGGCAGGGACCCCAATGGCTTTGCTGACTGGACCTTCTCCACGGTCCGGTGCTGGGGCGAGGAAGCGCAGGGCACGTACAGGCTGGTCATCAGGGACATCGGTGAGTCCTGCCTTCCAGGGCGCCTTCATGGGGTGGTACCAGCAGCTCCATGCCGTGTCCTGGGGAGCTGCCAGCTCAGCAGCTCGTCGGCCGTGGGTTAGCTCCGTGCGGTGCCACCCAGTCAGGTGGGAGAGTTCCCCACTGCTCCAACCCATTTCTTCCCCAGGAGATGAGAGCCTGAGGCCTGGGACCTTGAAGCAGTGGCAGCTGACCCTGTACGGCTCCTCCTGGTCCCCAGCAGAGATGAAGGAACGGCAGAGGTAGGACACCACAGCCCCACCTCGGCGGGGAGATGGGGGGCTAAGGGGCATTAGCAGCAGTCTCTGAGCAGGTTGCTGCGAGGTGCATGGCAGGGCGAGGCTGCAGCCTGGCACGGGGCACCGGGGCTGCCCTCAATACACTGCACAGGGGAGCTGTGGGCTGTCGGCCGGGTCGGACGCAGGAGGGCAACCCTCAGTGGTGGAAGAGGCACTCCAGAGCCTTTGTGGGCATTTGGGACCCTCCCTGGAGCAGCCCTGCCTGCGGGACCCTCACGGGGTGCCTCTGTCCCCCAGGCTGCTGGAGGAAGCCATGAGCGGGCAGTACCTGAGCAGCGACTTCTCCCTGCCCTGCCCTCCGGGGCTGGACATCCCCGAGGAGCAGCGCTACACAATCACAGCCAACACCCTCAAGGTGAGCCTGCTGGTTGGGGCCAAGCAGGGACACCCCATCCTCTGCAGGAGGGACTGGAGGCGCGGGAACCCACGTCGCTGGTCCTCCTGGTGCTGTGCCCGCTCTGCTGGGCGACAGCGGGGCTCTGGGGTGGTCGAGGGCTTTGTTTCTTAAGGGGTTTCCTCCTCCGCAGACCCTCCTGCTGTTGGGGTGCTTTGCCGTGTTCTGGACTTTCTACTACATGCTGGAGGTGTGCCTGACCAGGAACAACGCGGGGCTTGACCTGACCTGCAACGGCTCCACCGTCTGCAAGTGGTACCAGCAGGGAGGGAAGCACAGAGCCCTGGAGAGCGGCCTGGAGATGGAGTCGGTGCCGCTCTACCGGGAGAAGGACATTGAGGATGTCGAGATGGAGTGTGAGCACCCGGAGCCTGCCCGGGAGGATGAGGGGGAGGAGGGGTCCTGGACCCCCACTCACCCCAAACTTCCCAGCAGCGGCAGAGCTGCGAGCTTCCACGAGGCGGCCCCCGCCGGAGCGGGGTACCTTGGCCGGGAGGCAACAGCCGAGCTCCTCTCGGAGGACAGGGAGCACCAGACGTGCTAGCTGGGGCTGGGGGTTTGGGCTGCATCCCTCCCGCTCGGTACGTCCTTCTCGAGCACGGGCAGCAGAGACTTCCCGAGCCACCAGGGACCATTGCCATCGCGTCCTGCGGAAGGTGGTGTTGGAAGGGGCTCGGAAACAAGGAGAAAGAGTGCTGGCAGCGGAAGCGGAGCTTCCCTTTCCCTCGCTCTGGAAAACAAAGCAAGCCTTAAACTCATTCCTCATGGAGCCTGCCCTGCAGCCGCACTCAGGGCATCCCTCTGTGCGTGGAGCAAGGCCCCACGCCCACGCCTCCTGGGCACGTGGTGGCCGTGGTGGAGCTGCGCACACCCTCCCCTGCACGCCACGGCTCCCCTGGCCTCGCAGCATGGGGAAGAAGTGTCACTCTGTCCCCAATTGCTGCAGAGTGAGCCTGGAAAACGTGGCAGGGCCGCTGGCAGCTGCCTCTGCAGGCAGGGACCCCCCAGCACTGTCCTTTCCCTGCCCCGCTGGGCTGGGAGCTGGCCGGTACCCACCGGTTGTGCCCAGCTTGGAAGCAGGGAGTCATTTTGCCCGTCTCCAGCCCATGCTTGCTCCCTCTCCCCTGCGCTTGGACCCCGCCACCTCCTCCCCCAGCCCTGCGGGGGGGAGGCAGAAGGCGGCAGGGCTCTCTGGACCATCCTGCGGGGGGGTGCAGGATGGGGCTCTCCCTGCGGCGGCGGGCATGGAAGCGCCTCC